CATGTGTTACCTGGCACGTGTAAATTAATTAAAGTGAAAGTTATAGTGTTTACAAATGGCGGTATATATACTGGAATTCTTTTTTCAATTTTTTTTTCTACTAGTAATAGTGGCGATCAGCGACTTATAGCGGGACTGCGGCAAGCATTCTGACACTGGGGGGAAACTGACTTAGTATCACTGACATACCCAGTGACACCAATACAGTGATCAGTGCTAATAAAATCACTGATACTGTACTAATGGCACTTGGCAGGAAGGGGTTAACATGTGTGGTGATCAAAGGGTTAACTGTGTGCTGTTTTACTATGAGGCTGTGTGCTGTTTTTCACTGCGAGCACACTGCTTTGTATGGCTCTGCTATGCAGGGGAGTGATCTGTGTTGTTTATACACAAGTCTCTCCCCCGTTGGAGATACTCGGCGATCACCGAGTGCTAACAAGAAATCACCAGCTGGGACCCGGTGATTGATAGCCAAGGCCGCGAATGGCGGTGCAGGTAGGGTGACTCCTACCTGGAATTGCAAAATCACATATATATATGTGATTTTGCACACCTGTGCTGCCCTCTAGCAGTATTTCTGCTATAGGTCGGCGCGGAAGAGGTTAACTGGAAACATCACTGAGGATACAGAGTCGGTGTCAACAGAAACCTCTGCAATCCTTAATAATAAAGTACTGAATTGTGGTATTTACACATACACACCAATTTTTAGTGTTGAATTTGTCTCAAGGGCCCCCCTAATAGGTCTCCTTTTACTCCCAGGCCCCATATCAGCAGCATTGGCTAACATGTCTATTGTTGTACCATTGGTACTCATAACTTTAAAATCCATAGCATTATTTGAAATTCACAACTGACAAAAACAGTAAAAATGTTTGGTTGATATTTATTTTCTTTTTTTCATCAATGCCAGCACTGATTTGCTGAACTACTTTATAAAGTGCAATGTATTTCAGCAAGGCTTTTCACCCTTTTTGTATGTTTATTAAGCTGCTGAAAATAATCTTCTCAGTCAGTTGGTACCATCATGCAAATTCATAGAACAACCACTTTGCCAGCACTAAGAGCCCATTCACATTATTGTGTTGTGTTAACGCTCAGTAATGCACATTACATGTGTTGGTGCAATGTGGTGCCATTCATTCTGAATAAAGCAGTGGATCTTCCTAATTCATGTGTTTTAAATTACATGGAAGAATTAAAGAAAATCTAAAGGCAAAAATTTTTCTTTAGTTTTGGATAGAACACCAGTCAGTTTTTATTGCTGTCTATGCCCCAGTTATCTACTATTCACATATATGGGTGATAATGAATGCAATTTGAATCCAATCTGCATGGCATGTGAAATCACATTGCTTCCTATGGTGCCTATTCACATATATCCGGTGCACTGGTGGTGCAGATTCAGTGTGGTTTGAGAAAGAGTCATGCATGATTTCTGAGAAGTACCTTCAGGTTCGTGCAGATTACAGGTTACTGACGTCTATGGGAACTGTTTCTAATCTGCATATGTGTGAACAGGATAAGATCCTGACCTAATCCTGTCCTGAACCTGATATAAACCTGATATGAACCGCTGAACTACTACTGTATCAATTAGCTGTGAAACCTGAGTTTCAATCCTCACCACACATGTGTGAATCAGCTCTTAAGGAGATTCGCTCTCTCTATTTGTCCTGTTTACCATTATGATTGAAAGTGAAAGTAAAAGAACACCCAAAATTTTGGGTTGTCCCCAAAAAAGTAAGAGGGGAAATCTTTCAATGAAGAATCTAGTTCTGGTGACCTGGGGGTCCCCAAGGAACCCCATTAATTTGCATGGATTTCCTTTTACTTCTTGTTTGACTATGGGACAGAAAGTGAAAGTAAATCTCTGTGATGGGACGCAGATGGCAAAAAAAATAAAAAATTTGACAGAGATTGCTCTATTCAAGATGAAAAAAAAGTTTTGCTACTTTAACCTCCTGTAAGTGCATGGTGAATGTCACATTATGCAAGTTATTTATTCTGAATGGCATCCCATCTTACAGGGATTGATTAACCACTTGTAAATTCTCAGTGAATGTCACATTGTGTGTTGGGCAGCCATTCATTCTGACTGGCACCCCGATGCACCTTGTTGAGATCAGGCTCAGTAAGTATAAGGGGGGAAGCTGCACTTGGAAGTTTTTTTTTTTTACCTTAATCCAGAGAATGCATTAGGGTAAAAAACCTTCAACCTCTGGAACCACTTTAAGGAGAAAGAAATGGACGATTATAAAATATTAATTTTATAGCCACCATTTAAATCTATTTGTCTAAAAGCTGAGTAAAAAGCTTGCATAGAGTGTCTTAATGTCCATGATCATTGGACCTTATTACTATTGCAACCATTTATAACACCTTGGCTTAGGAGCTTCTTTTGAAAAAACGGGAAGTACTGAATCTGATGGAAAACAAAGAGGTGGAGATTTGGTGCCAACTTAAGAGTGTTATAAATGCTGAATGTTGTTAGTCAGGTAGGATTACATGGACATGTTGCTGAATTTGTCAAAATGCAAGTTGTAGGCGGCCCAATTGCCACCACCCAGATTGACAAAAGTAAATTGGAAAATTGCCAGTCAAAGAGTGACTGCATCCTGTCTGATGCATACATTGTTCAGGTATTCAGACATCCACGGTTGCTGTGGCTGTCTGAATACAATAATTTTCATGTAGTGTGGAAGTGGAAAGCTATTGCTTTTCTCTCATTCAATCCACGGGCTGAATGAGAAAAATGTAAAGGTGTATTGTTAGCTATAGTGAAGGTGGGTGTTGTGTATACCAACTACATAAAGAAAGCAGAGAGTGATTTAAGTTCTTCTGAGGTTTTAAGACCTGCATATTAGAACACCCAGAGCAACTAGCTGTACTGTGTAATTATACAGATGTGTATAGGTCTGATACAGTAGTAAGTGTTTTTGTTTCAGAATACAAAAACACATCCTCTTTATTTCTTTGAACGTAGCAACCAGCCCAGAAAACCACATCCGGAATATTACTTCCCTCTGTATTTTCATTGTATGAGTGAAGCAAGCTTTAAGAATTCTTACCCAAAAATTTTTTTATGATAAAGACCAACAGTCTTAAAAACGAAATAAAGAAACAAACTACAAAGCATCACAACCTATAACAACTAATCAAAGTTAAATGGCTAAAGTCACACAAACATAAGCTGGATTCTGATCAGTTACCAGTTGGCAATTGTATTTATTTGTTTGCTCCTTGCATTGGTTTTTCAAATAAAATGGTTAGCCTAGCAGGATGTTAGACACAAACCTCAAATGTTTGTGTTGTTATAGCAATCAACAACGTAACACGTATAGTTCAAATCAGCCAATAATTAAACTGAAACCAAAGTAAGTAATAAATATTTTATTGAGTCCTTGTTTTACTGCATATAACAATTCATCTTATAGAATGAAATATTGAAAACAGCAAAACATTTTTTTCTCTGTACTTTTCATTAAATTATTAATAAATAATCCAATTTTATCTTGAATCAGTGAAGAAGGGATGTGCTTTGTAAATATGACAACATACTTACATTCATTAACAAAAACAAAACACAAAATCAAACAAAAAAAAATAAGGAATTACATTTACATGCAGAAGGTATGCAGTCCAGTTACAATCCAAGCATGCATTCAAATGACAATACCTCATTTTTTATCACAGTGCAAAAAAAAATATTTAACTACCTTGCAGCAAGTTGATTCTAAATACATGCTGACTGCCAACACATGTATGTCTTGCTTACTAAAGTGTGATTGGCTGTCTCATATGCTTTGTAATTTTTACTAGGATTATAAAACAGCCCAGCACAAAAGACTGACAATTAAACAATTGAGGCAAGGTGAATCAAACAATAATGCAAGGGGAATTCTGACAAGTGTCATACAGAGGCTATTATCGAGAGATACTTTGAACCTGTTTTGAGTTGTAATTAAGCTGGGTAAAATCAATGGTGGAGTTAAATAGAGACAATAACACATTGACAAAAATCATAATTGCTTGTAACAATATCAGCTTCTTATGTACCGATTCTCCAACTGATTTTTCATGTCTTAAAACAGAAAAAATGGTAGTTTCAATAAAAATAAAGATATTTCAGTACACAAAATGGTAAAATGATGTAAAACAACTTCATCAAAGTGTCATATGAAGTGATCTACATTAGTGATTAAAGACTGCTGAACTAACTTAGCTATGATGGCGAGGGGAATGTGCAAAGTGCTGGTGATAAATTAATTATTACGCTTTGGTCCCTCACAATTACATTGGAAACATTACTAACTGCTAGAGGCACAGAGGGCAGGACAGCATACCATGAGCTAGGACGGCAATGCTTACAAAGTATTGGCATCCTCTTACCATCACTACAGCAGTCTGGTTGTTGGGATATTACCCTAATAAGTGACATGCTCAGGAAGGCATAGCACTATTCATATCTTGCTGCAACTAAATACATTTCACAATTAAATTAACAGATTCATTTGCTAAATATGGTGAGCAAAATACGCAGGAAAAACTATGTTAAAACAGAAGAAAAAAGTTACAAAAATGTCAATACAATGGTCTAATTTATGTAAAAAAATATATTTTCACATTTCAATGGAAAAATATGTTACATTGCTCTTGGTGACACACACATTTTTTTACACAAAGACCATTATAAGTGCTTTCATAGCTAATCTGTTTTACAGTACATGATACTTCAACAATAATAGACATTCATAAAGCACAACCCTAACTGCACCTGCATACAATTAATAAATATGTATATTCCAGTTTCTTCGTGTGTTTTAAAACTTTTACACACATTAATTTAAACTATCACACAAATAAATTACTAGAAATAAAGTTAAATAACCATGAATTGAACACCACAAAGTTTAACTAGAGACACCACTTTTGTCATTTAGATTTCTTCATGCTAATTAGCCATGGAAAGGGCCAGAGTTTTTGTCATTTCATCTTTACTCGTTGTTTTCTTTAGTTTCTTGTGCTTTTTTCTTTTGCCTTAAATTTAAAAAAGAAAAAACAGAAACAAAGTTAAAAATATGAATATGAACATGACATAATGCATTTTGGGAGACCTGTTTATAAAGGGCATGTTTGAAAGATATTTATAATTGTAGTGCATTTGACACAGTGTAAACTAGCTCCAACTTCTCTTCCATACATGTCAAACACAAAGCCCGCAGGCTGAATCCATCCCTCTAGGTCATTTTATTTGGATCTCAGCTAAGTCTATGCCCCACCTTGTCTCAGCAATCAGCAGCAGAGAGGAAGACAGAATTCCTCAGCCAGATCCTGCATCTCTCTGTGCAGCTGCAGACAGGCTCATCTCTGCAGCTTTTCCCATCTTAGCAGTTGGCAGCAGAGAGGACAGAACTCCTGCTACAGATCCTGCGCCTTTCTGTGCAGTAACAGCACTCGCCTCCCCTGTTCTCAGAATTCAGCAGACCCCAGCCCTCCTCTGGTCCTCCTCCAGACCCTACACTTTCTGCTTCCAAGCTCTCCCCCCCACCTTCTTCCCTGCAGCAGCACACAGTAAGGGTGGTGCACTGTGATGTAAGGGAAGGTGCGGGACTCTTAACATCTGATGTAAGGGGGTGAGGTGCTCTGGACATCTAGTCTTACAGGTACAACTGGCCCTTGGAGGGCAACCATAATACTGATGCAGCAGAGATTAAATTGAGTTTACCCCTGTTCTATTCTATTTTCTTTCACTAAAGAAGCCTTGGCATTGGTGTAAGATATGAATTAGGGCAACACTTTGGCCAGCATACATAATATTGGACCACTTGACTTTCTTCTGGGCTAGAGGTACTCAGTATGGAACAGATTTGGCCATTCATGGCAATAGCAAAATTAGGAAATATGGCCAAGCCAGGAGGCTACTAAGAGTCTAAATTTATTTATTCAAATTGTGGATGCCCTCTAACCAAAATGATTTATTCAGACATTTCTGTGTCTGCGTGGCAAGCTCTTGCCCTAAAAAGCAGTCATTGGCCTACAAATAGACCTGATAAAGGCAGAGGGCCTAAAATGAGCTTTTCCAGTAATAATTTTCACACAAGAGGCTTTTAAATTCTTAAATTTCAATCTAAGCATTTGAATCTGAGGTTAAAATAGTCTTAACCTACCCGATCTCCTTCACCTTCTGAATAACCCAGGGCACGTTAGGCTTGGAGCAAAGAATCTTGCCTTCTTTTGTGATAAACCTGGAAGAAAAACATAGTATTTGAGAACACTTCATAAGTTTTTATTAGCATTAGGATATAAACAGCAGATATGCATATACTGTAATCAGAAACTGGCAATTTTTTGCTCATATCAATGTAAACATTTGTTAAAAATTAATTATACAAATATACTGTATGAATATAGCACAAAGCACAGCACCTACCCTCCCCACAATGCAGCACTTAGGACTTCATTAGCCAATCACCAAGATCCAGTGCGATTATGGTGCAGTTATCTCTAATATTGGGTATTTTTGACCCTTCCCCATTCTCTTCCAGGTAAGTGTTTAGCACTTCTGCCTGGCAGCACTAGGGATGTCTGCTTGAATCCCAGCCACAACACCACCTGCCTGGAGTTTTTTTTAATGTTCTTCATGTACCTGCGTGGGTTTCTTCCGGGTACTCCAGTTTCCTTCCACACTCCAAAAACTTTCTGGTAGGTTAGTTGACTCCTGTCTAAATTGGCCCTAGTATGTGTATGTATGAATGTGAGTTAGGGACCTTAAATTGTAATCACCTTAACGGCAGGGACTGTGGATGTACAAATATATGTAAAATCACTGCGTAAATTGATGGCACTATAAAAATACCTGTAATGCATAAATACATTCTAATCTTAATACTCACATGATGGCTTCAACACAAGGAGGAGCTGCTTCCTGTAGGAGGAAGTCCACTATCTGAACTCTGGGTTTAGCTGAGGAGACCCTGGTGCAGCAGGTGCTAAATTTTCCAGTGTCTGCAAATAATAACAAGTGTAGAGAATGAATGATCACGTGAAATTATACGTTATTAAAACTTCATGTATATACCATTTGATATTTCATAAAGGAATATCTCCACCAAAATTTAGCAAAGCCCACCAATTCAGCTTTTAGGTTGGTGCTAACAAGGTAAATCATCAACTGGCTTCTAAAATCTTTCCCTAACTCAGATAGCCTTAATTCCTTGCAGCATATTTGTTCCTTAGTCTAGAACAGCAAGCCTATAAAGGAGGTATCACTCTCTTACAGCCAGATTCCCAAGATATGTGCTTGTTCTTTTAAGTGAGGAATCTGCTACATAATATGACACATCCCTTTATCTGGTGGCTAATGGCTTTGCCAATTGGACCAAATTGAGAATTTGGAGGGTATATTTTACTAATGGTGAGATTGCATTTTAAAATGAAATAGTGATTATAAAAATCTTTGGAAGAGGGCCTGACTAGTCTATAGCAGCCAGTCATATGAAAATGGTAATTTTATGGCTTGCATGATTAAATGGATTAGGTGTTGCAAACAATATGGCAAAAATATCTATTAATAGAAGATGGGATGAAGAAACAAGCAATAAATAAAGTTATAACACTATTGTGTTCTCTCTTCTTTCTCCTAAAACATTGCCAGATACATATGATTCATTTTATGAAAAACAATACAAATTGGATATGTTTTGGCCACAAATTCCTCTCATTGTCCTTGTTTAGTTTCCTTAGTGCATATTAGAGGCTGAAATAAAAATCTCTCTAGATAGCGTAGGAAACATCTTTACTGACCCATTTGCCCCATAATTCAGTTCACTTGTCACCATACCTTTCACCTGCATATTATCTATCCGCTTACTATCTGTTCTTCTGTCGCCACTTACCAGCAGATACGGTGACTACTGCAACTGCAACGAGGAGTGCCATACACAGCATGATCTTCATGGAGCACATGATGTTGGGGTATCTTTGATCTTTAGGGCTCTTGTCTTCTCCTGTATGCAGAGCTGCTGAGCACTGTGATAGCCACATGGAGCCATCTTCTTTTAAAGACCAAAAAAGAGGAACTTTACAAAGGCAGAAGGAAATGATGCTGGTATTTCCATGCAGTGATTACAGCATCAGCACTTACAGGTGAAACCAAAGATGACAAATCCTTTTCTATGCTACTGAATAACTGAAGATAAAAAAGAATAATTGTTATAGAGTTGGCCATCACAGAAACATTTATAAATTAATGGTAATTATGTTGATGACGATGAAAGGTCAGTTTACCCAACTCACTGGTTTATTACATTTTTCATGGACCGCAAGGGCAAAATCTCCTCTTTACAGATTCCAGTTTTCCCCCCTCCACTAAGTCTCACCACTTCTGCTGCATTCTGTGGTATATATTGTAAATCGCTGAGCAAACTGTTGGCGCTATATAAATCCTGTATAATAATAATAATATAAAGTATAAATGGAAAATGCCAAGGCGAAGAGGGAATTTCCTGATAATGGCTCTGGTGGATAAGCAGAATTGGGAATCTGGGTAAAAAACTGGCAACGCTGGTGTTAGTGATGTCCTTTTTTGATGGACTTACTCTTTATAAATATATACAAGGGGCATTCATGTCAAACCGGGATATCTGAGTTTTTATAATAAAAAGAATATAGTTCTTTTGGAAACTGGAATTTTGTGGAAACTGCATTTATTTTTTAACATACTCCCCTGCTATATTTATACACTTATTCTAGTGTTTAACTAATGGCTGGAAAGCTTCCTCATAGAGGGATTTGTCAGTACACCTGAACATCCTAGTACAGCCTGCTTCACTTTGTCATTAGTGCTGAAATGCTGACCTCCGAAGAACTTTTTTTAGGGGTCCAAGCAGGTGGAAATCACTCATAGTGAGGTCTGAGATCTAAGGGGGATGTGGAAATACCTCCCAGCCGAGTTGCTGTAATGTGCATATAATGCGGTGAGCAGTATGAGCATGCGTTGTCCTGGAGAAGTGATGCGATCCAGAAAATCCAGCCCTTCCCTGTCAAAACGCTCCTTCAATGCAGTGTAGACTTCAACTCTTCTGTGCCTTTCAAAAGCAGAAAGCTGTCTTGGTACCCAGCGTGCACTAACTTTCGAAAATGCAAATGTTCGTGAATGATTGTGTTCACCATTCCCACAGAAATATTTGTTTCTTGTGCAATTTCATGGCAGGTTATGAGTTGATTATCCAGGATCAGGCATTCCACAAGCTGAATGTTCACAGGAATGACTGCTGTGGGCTGGGAACCACCACGGCCAGGATCGTCACTAACGTTTACACCATTCAAATGTTTTACTGCAATTGAACTAATTACCGTACCGTGCTTGAAGTCTTCTGTAGATATACACAGGTTTTACGCCTTTGTTCACAAGAAACGTCTTCACCACACATTGTTCCATGCACGCACTAACACTGTTGTCTGCCATCTTGATTTACGGTCTCTGGACTGGCCTGCGATATGTGTTTTGCTTATCAGTAATAGGACACACTTACTACTGCGTGTAGTACCGCCATGCTAGCATCCCTTTTTATACCTGTAAAATTAAAAGTTCCAGTTTGACTTAAATGCCCCTCATGTGTGTATATACTATATTGCCAAAAGTAATGGGACACCCCTTCAAATCATTGAATTCAGGTGTTCCAATCACCTCTATAGCCACAGGTGTATAACATCAAGAGCCGAGGCATGCAGACTGCTTCTACAAACATTTCTGAAAGAATGGGTCACTCTCAGGAACTCAGTGAATTAAATCGTGGTACTGTGATAGGTTGCATAGTCCATCCATGAAATTTCCTTGCTACTAAATATTCCACGGTCAACTGTTAGTGGTATTATAATAAAGTGGAAGAAACTGGGAACAACATCAACTCAGCAATGAAGTGGTAGGCCACGTAAAATGAAAGAGCAGGATCAACATATGCTGAAGTGCACAATGCACAGAAGTCGCCAACTGTCTGCAGAGTCAATAGCTAAAGACCTCCTAAGTTCATCTGGCCTTCAAAGTAGGACAACAACAGTGAATAGAGAGCTTCATGGAATGGGTTTTCATGGCCGAGCAGCTGCATCCAAGCTTTACATCAGCAAGTGCAATGCAAAGCGTTGGATGCAGTGGTGTAAAGCATGCTGCCACTGGACTCTAGAGCAGTGGAGACATGTTCTTTAAAGTGGCAAATTACGCTTCTCTGTCTGACAATCCAATGGACGTGTCTGTGTTTGATGGTTGCTGGGAGAACAGTACTTGCCTGACTGCATTGTGCCAAGTGTAAAGTTTGGTGGAGGGGTGATTATGGCATGGGGCTGTTTTTCAGGGGTTGGGCTTGGCCTCCTCCTGTTCCAACATGACTGCGCACCAGTGCACAAAGCAAGGCCTGCACAGAGTCCTGACCTCAACCCAATAGAACACCTTTGGGATGAATTAGAGCAGAGACTGCAAGCCAGGCCTTCTAATCCGACATCAATGCCTGACCTCACAAATGTACTTCTGGAAGAATGGTCAAACATCCCCATAGACACACTCCTAAACCTTCTGGACAGCCTTCTCAGAAGAGTTGAAGCTGTTATAGCTGCACAGGGTGGACCAACTCAATATTGAACCCTACGGACTAAGACTTGGATGCCATTAAAGATTAAAGTTCATGTGCGTCTAAAGGCACAATACTTTTGGCAATAGAGTGTGTGTGTGTATATATATATATATATATATATATATATATACACACAATAGTTTAACTCACATGTTAGTTTTTTGATACAATGATGCTTTCCATAGTAGAGTAAGATCTCCCCCTTTTAAAATTTTGTGAATGCTGATCTGCTCCCACTACTGCATGCCGTTTTACTTTAACCTGTTGTTTGGCAGTGTTCTTCAATGGCAGTAACACCAACATCAACACAAGGCAACTTGCGAGAACTGATGGCACCATGAAAAAACATTTGACTGGCACAAAAAGGCGGTGAGTGGAGGGACCTGGCAGGGAGACAAGGTGAAGAAAGGCTCTCAATGCAAGAAACCAGCCAATTGGATACATTGCAAAAAGGCACTTCCCTTGATATGTTATTATCACTGCATAGCATGTTGTATAGGTCAAGTGGCCTTAAAGCTCAACTTCAGAATAATGAAAAAAGAAAAGAACCCTCACTGCAATATAATACTACCCTATCCAATCTGTCCCTCACATTAAGTCATCTTGGACACTAGATGGTGCCGCTGTTCCCATTTGAATAACACATTCTACTGTGATCCCAGGGAGTCAAGGATCTGTAACCCCTAGGGGTGCATTATCAGTCCACCCTGGACACTTAAGAGAGTTCTGCAAAAAATTATATTCATGGCATTACAGGTTGTCACAACTTGCAATGTCCAAGATGACACTGTGAGGGACAAAGCTTGGAGAAGGTAATATTATATTGCAGCTAGAGTTGCTTTTTAGTTTTTACTTTCTGTGTATTTTTTTTGTATCATCACCCTCCCATTGTAGAGGACAGAAGACAAGAGGGACGACCTTGTAAACTGAAGTGCTAAAAACGTTTTAGAAAGTCCACAATGGAAGTTATAGTAGAAAAGCACTTTCATTGGTATCTATGAAAAAGTAATCAAGTAGTACTGAATATACCTTACGACATTTTGACTTCATAAGACACATATCACCAGACATTTATATATATATATATATATATTTATATATATATATATATATATATATATTGTTGTGTCATGATGACTACAATGTTTCAGCTGGATTTTGTATCTTTCAGAATGCAGCCAATTTATAAGTTTGGTATCCAACACAACATCTGGTTTTGTGGTTATTTTTGTTATTCTGAAGCAAACCTTGATTCAAAGCATTTTGTAATAGTTTAGAACATCTGTTAGGTCGTGTTTATCATATCATGCTATTCTTCCATAATGCCCACACTGACATTTGCCAGTCCATAACCTAAATGATTGTTATAGCATTGTCACTTTACCCTTGTATTGTATACTGACGTGAAACACTACAGTGTGTGAATGATTTTATAAAAGGGAAACTGAAATGGTTTTAGTGAGGTTTATTTACTAAAGCTGGAGAGTACAAAATCAGGCTCACTTCTACATATTAATCAATCAGCTTCTAACCTTGGCTTGTTCAATTAAACTTTGGCTATAAAACCTGGAAGCTGATTGTTTTTTTATGCAGAAGTGAGCCTGATTTTGCACTCTCCAGCTATAGTAAATAAACCCCACTGTGCATTTAAGGTTGGGATGGAACTAAACGTGACCTGGAAAATGTATATAATGTTGTCTTAGGCTAGCTTCACATCTCCATGTTCTTGCATTCATTTGAATAGACTCCTGTGCCCCGGGACACGCAGGGAAGAAGTCCCTGCACTCCTTCAGAAAACGCAGCCCGCACGGGAACCTTGATTCCCAGTACAAATGTGATTTCCAGTGTGGGCGGCGTGCCATTAGAATTAATGGAACCCACCCCCGGGTCCGCATTCCTCTGATGCGGCTGCACACATTTTTGTGCGGATCCACAGCGGCACCACCTGCAAAGATGTAAACCAGGGGTTAATGTTACAGATACATAAGTTTTGTTGCAAAACATAATGAATAGGATATTGGTCCCAATTGAATTCCAACCACGGCACCACCTGCCTGGAGTTTGCATGTTCTTCCTGTTCCTGCGTGGATTTCCTCTGGGTACTCCGGTTTCCACCCACACTCCAAAGACATGCTGGTAGGTTAATTGGCTCCTGTCTAAATTGGCCCTAGTATGTGTATGTATGAATGTGAGTTTAGGACCTTAGAATGTACACTCCTTGAGGGTTAGGGACTGATGTGAATGTATGATATATAAGTGCTGCGTAAATTGACAGCGCTATATAAGTATCTGTAATAGATACAGTAAATAAATAAATAAATAATGATCTTCATGGGTAGGCTGCAGTAGTGCTGCAATACCAGACCTTCCCATCAGGTGGCATTGCAAGTAAAATCTGTAAAGGTTGTTCCTGATCCTAGTAAAATTTACAGAATTTGGAATTTTATTTTTATTTTACTGTGTAGAACAATCAGCACTTCCTTAGTAATACTGGAGCAAGTATGCACCAGGGGCGGACTGACCATTTGGAAACTCGGGCACTGCCTGAGGGCCCGGGGTTAGTAGGGGCCCCATGAGATGCCCCTGGTACCTTTTCATAGGCTTTTTTGAGTTTGGGCAAGGACACAGGGGCCCCATGATCCCCTATTGCCCGGGAGCCCCTTGAGTTGTCAGTCCGCCCCTGGTATGCACAGTAACCGTATCAATCCTACTTGAACTTTCACTAGTTTAAGTCAGTCAACCAAGTGAAAGACTACTTCCAGTTTACTCCTACAGAGTTTTAAAATTTTTAACCAAAGCCATATTTAATATACAGTAGGTCAGATTTATCACTCTGAATCACTGCTTCTTCTACAGCACACTGATTAAAGAGAATTCAGTAAGGAGAGTGATGTTGCTAAGACAAACTAGAATTCATGACAAATTTAGGAGTGAAACTTTTTCTTGGCAATGAACAGTGGACAGAGGAAGTGAAATTCTTTGATTTTGTCTTTCTATGGCATTACTAAGTGACAGTGATTCAGTGATGAGGTCATTGCACTTAATTTGACCTTTTATTGTACCCATACCTCCCAATTTTCTGAAATGATGAAGCCGGGCACCTTTTAGCACACAGCATGTAGGCAAAGGACTTGTACCCGCCATGGCCTCACATTCAGGGACCACAAAGATCTAATATAAAGAAAATGATTGGCTAAACCACATAGCTGCTTTTTGACCTCTATTGTTCTTTGATATTGGCTCATCAAAATAGCCAATGAGGTAATATAGAGGTTTTATAAAATGTTTAGTGCAACACTTTTGGTAGTAAAATAGTACATTTTGTATAGGGATGTACACATCAGACCAAAGAGAGGTACAACTGAAGCTGCATGAGGGACAGAGGCATATGGTCTCAAAAGAGGGACTGGCTCTCCAAATGAGGGACAGCTGTGGGCTATTTTGTATCACAGACTGTCCAGTTAAGGTGCCCCTAGCCATTATGTGATAGCCTTCTAATCTCTTAATTGTCAATAAGCTCACAGCCAGTTTACACAAAGAATTAAAAATCCCCAGCATTTGGAAGAAAAAATCCATGCCAGAATTGTCCTCTATATTTTGGAACATTAAAGGGAAGTCATACGTTGCCCATTTTTCCCACGGTCCTCTCCTCCAACCACATCTGGGTTGGATTCACACTGTTACAGTGCGTTACCACATGCATGTTAATGTGTATTATGTCATGCTATCTGTTGTGGTAATGCAGCTGTTCATTTTGAATAGGATTTCAGTGCACAGCCAGGTAGGCTTTAATGGACCTGCACTTATTTTCGAAACCTTGCACACAGTGCTCAGATGGTTCAGATCTGTAAACGGCAATGCTCAAAATGTGAAAAAAGGGTGCTGTACCACATTACTGCAAAGCAAAGATGGGAATCCTGGCTTACCTTCAGGTTTGTTCATATCAGATCAATCTGAGTCAGGACTTTCACAGGACTAGGGATTCTCCATTGGCCCCATGTGGGAATGCTGAGATTTGACAGGTGAATTATAGGCACTAGAGTAAGAAAGTGGGATGCCCTTTATCAAAAGGTATGTAGACAAAGGGCTCCCCTGTCATGCTCCATAAATATCAGGACATCGATACAATTCTAACATGTTTGGCTCTATAACCACCACAATGGATTTGAAATGAAATGAACAAAATGTGCTTTAACTGCAGACTGTCAGCTTTAATTTGAGGGTATTTACATCCAAATCAGGTGAACGGTGTAGGAATTACAACAGTTTGCATATGTGCCTCCTACTTGTTAAGGGACCAAAAATAATAGGACAGAATAATAATCATAAATCAAACTTTCACTTTTAAATAATTGGGATAATGAGGGAATAACACACACCTGGCCATGGAACAGCTGAGAAGCCAATTGTTCCATTACTTTTGGTCCCTTAACAAGTGGGAGGCACATATGCAAACTGTTGTAATTCCTACATCGTTCATCTGATTTGGATGTAAATACCCTCAAATTAAAGCTGACAGTCTGCAGTTAAAGCACATCTTGTTCGTTTCATTTCAA